TGGAGCACAGAGCAGGCATGGCACCCCTCTCCCACTGACAGTGGAGCACAGAGCAGGCATGGCACCCCTCTCCCACTGACAGTGGAGCACAGAGCTGGTATGGCATCCCTCTCCCAGTGATAGAGGAGCACAGAGTTGGCATAGAACTCCTCTCCCACTGACAGATTAGCAGAGAGCTGGAATGGCACTCTTCTCCCACTGACAGAGGAGCAGAGAGCTGGATGCTCAGATGCTGGCGTTGCCTCACCTCCAGCTCACACTCGTACAGAGTGTCGTCCAGCAGCGTGACCCTGCAGTGCATGCTTCTGGGTTTGCGTGGGGCTTTGGGGGCCCGGGGCTCCTCCGGCGCCTTGATCTCCGCCTCACCCCCCGCCTTCCCTTCCTCAGCCTGTTCCGCTCCCTCCTCCTCCTCTTCCTCTTCCTCCTCCTCGGCGCCTCCTTCCTCCTCCTCCGAGTCCTTCTCTGTGTCCGGGTCCTCCTTGTTCTCCTGGTCCTCCTGGGCAGGCTGGAACAGCACACACACACAGCTGCAGCTCAGTGGATGCTGTTTCACCTTCCCTCCTGCACCAAGGTGGCCAGCTTTGGCCTCTTAAACATCTTGGGTATTGTCTTTCAATAGCTGCTTTTCCCAGGTAACATAAGATTCCAAATTTTAGAGCAGAAGAAAACTTTCAAATATTCCAATCAATTAGCTAATTAGGTCAATTAAGGCTTCAATTAAGTAATTAAGCTCCCAGGAGCAGGACTAGAAACTCCTGATGGAAAGCTTCTGTCAGGACTAACAACTGCAGACTGAAAAGCAATACAGCATCTCCCTAAAGAGGCTCGTAGCACAGACACAGGTCGTTCTGCTACACAGACACACTCCAGTCCTGGAGAGCGCAAGACAAGGCGCTGTTAAGAAAGCCCCAGGCAGTGAATTCATTACTTTGTGCTTTTACAGCAATAGTAAAATGCCAGGGCAGTGCTAAGTCCACCAAAATAAACCTACTGAAAATGGGGGAAAAAAATGCAAACAACCTCTAACAAAGCGGACTTGTGCGTGCTGGCACGCTTGTCTCGAGCTGCTCCCATTAGTCTTGGGGGATGAAATCAACAAAACAGCTTGAACCGAGATGCAACAACATCCATCCAGCCATTTTCTAACTGTTTTTTCTAATTCAGGGTCCTAGGGGAGCCGGGGTTATCCCAGCAAGCAATGGGCAGAAGTCATTTAGTGGGGGGGGGGGGATTCTAAAGTTTTGGCCAGCGAGTATAAAGCTGATTAGCTCTGAAAGTACAAAGGCAAAGCTTAGCATGTCTGTAGTGAACACTGCCAAAGGCTACACTAAACTGTAATGGACTGTATTATTACTACTGTAGCAGGCAGAAGGACAACACTGCCCATACCAGGAAAACCCGTGAAGCACTTGTAATGCACGAGTGAAAGCAGTTACCTGGGGCAAAGACGTTTTTTTGGCACTTCAAGTGAGGCAGAAACATTAAGAATGTAATGAATGTGCAATTGCACTCTAAACACAGGAATGTGCACTGGCAGGTAAAGTGCTGCTGAAAATACCCGGCCAACACTGCCACAACTCAACAGGGACAGGAGAACATACAAAGCGTTACGAGTTAGAGAGGCCAATCTGGTCATGGCTGCTTAAATTCAATCAATGTTCCATGGCCTGTTTTCTGCCCATTCCTTCGCTAACGTGTTTTTATGTAATTTACTTCCCAGCTGTGTTTAGGATCTGAAAAACACATTCCAAGTGACTGTCACAAATGCAATAAGCTTCATAAAGCGAAAACCAAACAATAACCTCACACAGTGCGTGTCAAGTGCAGGCAGACATACGGGCACGCACACGCATTTACTTCTCCTCGGTCTGGGCCAAACTGGGCACAAACACAGGAGGCTGCAAAAATAATACCAGCGCTTCCGCTGTGTAAGGTATAAGCAGGGGCTTCTAGAAAATGAGTCACATCTGAATAAAGCGCCCTGATGACTCAGCCAGATCCCATTGTGTTTGTGTCCCTGCGTGAAGCTAACTGCATTCCTCCTGTTCCAGCACACGGCACAATCAGTCCCACTTAACTACACAGGAATCTGGATCACGGCTCTCTCGCAGTAATCACTCCTGCTTGTAATTGGACTTCCCACCACGCTTGTACTAGGAGCGCTTCAGCTGGCTGAGCTGGCCAGGATTGGACGTTTAAGAAACTAGAGCGTAAAACGAACAAAAAAAACTTTTGGGACTGTCTCAGAGCTGCAAGCATCTCCCGGGGCATTGAAAGAGGAGGCCTTAGTACCCCTCACAACTGCCTTTCATGAACGCCGCCGTCAGCTGTCAGATGTCCCACAGAGAAAAACAAACTCCCGAGGCTGAAGACCCCTGGTGTGCGTGTGCAAGTGCACATGGGTGTGCGAGTGTAAACGTGTGTGTAGATGCATGTCTGATGTGGAGTGAGGGAGTGATGCCAGGCAGTCCTCACCTGAGTCTCTGCGCTGCTGAGCGAGTGCAGGTCGAGGGCTGGGTCTCCCTCAGCCCTTAGCTCGGGCTCAGGGGCCGCGATGGGAGCCTTGAGGAACACCTCCTCTTCGGGCCCCGCCGGCTGGGCCTCCTGCTCCCGCTCCTTCTCTTTCTTCTCCTTGTCCCCCTTCTCGGCCTCGGGGCCGTCTCCCTCCGAGCACTGCGAGCGGCGCTTCAGGAAGGAGGAGAAGAGGCGCGAGAGCCCGCGGCCCGCCGACGACCGGCTGCGGGGCTTCAGCTGCTCCTCCGGGGGCGAGCTGGGGGGCTCCTCCTGGGGGGGGTTCTGGGACTCCGAGGGGCCGGGGTCCTGCGCTGCCTCGGGCTCCTGGGGCTGCTGCTGGCTCTCCGCCTCGCCGACCACGCTGGCTTCTGTCGTCATGGCGCGGGCTGCAGCCACAGGAAACAGAGCAACAACCGTCAGACCCAGCGTCCCCGTTCCTCCTCTCTCCCCTTCCCATGTACCACCCCAGCTCGTCGCCCGTGAAACTGGCAAGGATTCTGAGGATTTCATGGGCTGTTAAAAACCAAAACCCACTGCTGGAAACAGGTCTGAACTGGAGGAATATGACAAGAGGTTCTGAACTAGACGACTATGACGAGGCTCTGGACTAGACGACTATGACTACGACAACAGATACTTTCCCCCCAACGAACTGCAGCAGAAGGATCAGCCCACATTTTGTCTTGAACAAAAACAAGGTGAAAAAACAACTTTTCTGTAGAATTTTAAGGAGACTATTTCAAGGACATCGGGTATAGTATAAATCTACAATACAGACACTTTCATCTTTAGCAAAGCCAATTATTTATGCAAAATGGAAGAAAGAAAAAACATCCTCTAGCAGTATGCCTACACTGTAACAGCCACAAAAAGTCACTCTCCCCTGAATGACCCATCACTTCAATTTTAGACTTTCAAGCCTTCAAAGGAAATATATAAGCTGCAGGAAAAGTCCGGGAAAAATACTACCTCTTCACTATCTATAGGGAGGCACTGTTGGTTTTTTTTGTAATGCTTTCCCAACTTTGTTTTACAATGTTCCTGCTATAGTGAAAGCCGAGCTGACTGGAACATGTTTGAGTAAAGACACCAAAACTACCGTCCTCATAGCAATGTCCCTGCGTCATGCTGGCAGGGCAGTACTGAAACCCCAAAGACGACTGACGCACTTCCAAAGACAAAAGCCTACAGGCAGTGAAGGAACACATCTTGGGTATTAGGGTATCGAGAGCAACATCATAAGACATCTTTGTGCCGAAATGGGTTCTGAACCTCATGCTCCAAAGGGAATGTCTTTTCTCAGCAATTTAATTAGAATTTTTCTACTAAAGCACTTCTTCATTTAGCACACAAATATACATTCCCAGTGCATTCTGGCAAACTCATTCTGACTGGGTGATTAATCCTGTTTAGAGAGCTGCACGGCCACTGGCTAACAGCGCCCCTGCGCATTGTTATGGTGATGGAACTGATTCAATTGCTTTCTCTTAGCACGGAATGGGATCACGACCTGGGACATTCTCAAAACAATTTGCAATGCAATCCAATCAATGCCTGAACTCAAAGCCTTCTGCCTCTCTGAAGGAGGTGGGGTTGTTTAACAGGGTACAGATACCACAGACAGTGGGGTCTCCATCTGACCACAAGACAGATGCCAACATAATGGATTCTTCCCAGGAATCCAAGAAGGAATTCTTAAACAGAAGCGGATTTCTTGACATTCTGCTTTAGGAACCTAACACGTTATGTCAAGAGCCACTACTGCTGTAATTAGGCTCACATCTGGCAGGGCAGGCCTAGATCGGTCAGGGACTGAAGTGTATTTGTGGCTGGTTTATATCCCTGTGGGGTCTGTTCATGGTGACAGTCAGCTCCTAAACTGAGAGTGAACAGTGGTATTAGCTCACTTATCAGGACTGTGTTTATATGTTGGAAACCAGCCATTAGCACAACAGGACACTGCAGAAGTCTCCATACAGCTCTGGGGGTGAATTCAAGGTTAGGCCACATTATTTCACTTTGTCCTCAGGCCTGTGAGTGTTTAAGCAATTATCAGTCATGTTGTGTAACATTTAAGCAGCTTAAATTAACACTGAGATGAAGCAAAGTTGCAGAGTTTATAAATGCAATGTTTTTTTTGTTGTTGAGGTCTTTGTAGGAGCAAGCACTTGACTTAACTAAGGGTTGGTATCCCAAACAGGATGCGATTTAAATTACATCACACACCTTAAAAACTACATTTGTCATTCAAACCTTTGTTTTTGCAAACCTTTCGATGGCCTGAAGCTACAGTTTCTGCTTTTTAAAAGAAAAACTGCAGCTGCTTTAAGAGGACCCAAACAAACCAGAGATAAGAGTAAGAGAAATGCATTAATAGAATATGCATATGCAAACAGAAATGTACACCAACAAACATTTCTGAACGATTTACACGTTGATGCACTCCTAACTGCATCCTGAGGCTGAAAGCTCCCACCCCACATGGTCAGGTACTCTGTGCTCTGTGCTCTCTCGACAACAGCCTCATCAGCACACCTAACCTGGATTCCATGCCATCCGAGGACAGAGGCCCATACACACAATGTCCCCCTTGTCCCTCTCTCTCTGCAGCCGTGCCAGACCCAGGCAGCGCAATCGGGCGCTCGTTAGGGCCCTCAGATAATTACAGTGTGGTTTGGCAGCAGCTCGCGGTTTGACTGGAAGGCGTTACAGGGAGTGATCGGGTCAGCCCAGTCCATTAGCGGGGTACAGCTCCCCTCTAACATGGACATTTTTACAAGTGTCTCGCGGTCTCGGGAAGGTTGCCAAGGATACCAGTCATCCTGGTTTCTCAGTTTCCTCTCTCCTTCCCTCTGGTAAGTGTTCTAGGAGCACAAAGGCACAAACTTCCAGATTCAGAGACCGTTTCTTCCCACAGGAAGTCAGATTCCTGAACTCTACCCCTACCACTGGCTCACGCCGATGGGGTTTTTTTCCTCTTCTCACGCTGCTCTGTCTGAAGTTGGATGTTATTTAACGTGTTCTTGTGGCTGCTGCTGCGCTGCGTCTAGGTTTTCGGTGTTTCCTCAATCTCCTCCTATCGGCGCTGACATGCAAATCAGCACTTCACTGCACTTGTGCGTGACGTGACGCATAAACTGATCTGAGATTAACGAGGGCCTCAGCTTCCCGCGCCCTGTCAGCCTGCTGGGGCTTAAAAATGGCCGCCGACAGGCCCGCCTGTCGTGAGCTCTCCCCGCCGGCCGCACGTGGCCCTGGAGCAGCACTTGGCCTTCTGCGCAGCTCACGGCGCTGCAGTAAACCCGGGAAGCTAAGAAGATTACGAAGCCATTCGGCAGCGCCCTTCTGCCACGCAGGGCAGGCACTCTTCGCAGTTTGAAAGGATTTCCTCTTGCAATTAAACAGATACCACCTTAAGGCTTGCCCTGCTTTTCCGATGGCTTTTTAGAGACCCTGCTCACTCGTGTAGCACCCCTAGACAGACCTCTGCTGTCAACAGCCCTACAGGCTCATGGCGATCAGACCCTGGTCACACCGCTACCAACCAGCACACTCAGCTCTTCAACATCTAACTCCAGTATCGATCACAGTGATCAGAACCCCAATCACCCAGCTGACAATCGCCACACTCAGCTCTTTTGACATCTAACGCCAAAATCAACCGCCCCCAGCTGACTGCTACAAACGGAAGTGGATCCTTGCGTTTACAAAAACACCAGAACAGGAGTGACCGGCACGGTGAGGGAGGAGGCCCTTGGGTGCATCTTCGGTTGAGTCGCGCCTTCTAAATCTATTGTCTCTGAAAGCTGTGGTGATGGCGTGGTGATGGCGTGCCTGTCAGCTGTCCAGCTGCCCAGCAGTGCCACCTCCTAAAGAGCTACCAAAAAACCTAGACAGAGGCTGTCTGAAATACAACCTACATTACTGTATCCCTCCATCTGAACTAGGGTCCCTTGCTGTATGGCTAGAGAGCTTACTGTCAGATAATGTATTAGCCCTCACTGAAGCACTTAAAAACCAAGGAAGAGGTGATGCCTCCTTAAAAAAAGTGGAACCTGTGTAAGCCACCGGCCACAGCGCCAACTCCGCGCATCTACAGATCGTCACTATCAGCTTCATCTGTGCCTCGAAGCGCAATCTGATGGCAACGGTTTCACACGCAAGGAGGTCGTTTATGGGCTTTTGTCATTTCGATCCACTTGTGCAATCTATTTAGGGCGCTCGGTGTTGCGTCAGTTTCTGTTGCCGTGGTGAGCTCGAGCCAAGAGTACAATCCACCACGGAGGGGGAGGGGGTAGGAGATCTCTCCTAATCTCCGCCATCAAATCCATCCCGACAATGTGAGCCATCCGCAGCGCCGTCACGTTTTTATTACATGGCTCTTTAAGACCCTCCAGCTTCGGGCAGCAGAGCTGGGTTTACATCCATCCATTTCTAACTTCCAACTGCTTCTACCAATTCAGGGTGGCGGGAGAGCTGGAGCCTGCCCTGGCAAGCAACGAGCGCGGGGCAGGACACAGCCTGGGCAGGACACCTGTCCATCGCAGGGCAGACAGAAAGACATAAACAGAGACACAAACACACTCCCTTAAGCAAACTGACCTACCAGTGTGTCTTTGGGCTGTGGGAGCAAACGGGAGCCCTTAAGAGGCAACCCACATGAAGATGTGGAGATGGGGATAGCACCCCAGGTGCGACGACCGGGTTTAACTCAATTAACTTATTAAAAACAGGGCTGAAACCCCCAGGAGCTGAGCTGCCCTTAACCAACAGGCTCTGAAAAAGTGCCAAGCAGGTCCAGATCTCAAAGTGGAAAACACAGACCTGAACCCTTGTCCAAAAAGAGTTCTTCAAGCCACCTTGACACACCCACACACACACACACGCTGGGTCCAGACTCTACGCACTCCTGGTGTTCTGAAGAAGCGGGTGACCCAGGTGGAAAGGTCCTCCCCTGCAGTCTGAGGCAGTCGATTTCACCAGGGGGCCGGCTTGGGAGAACCAGAAACGGCGTGCATGGATTCGCAGCTTCGCACGGGGGCGGATGGGCCATCGCTGTGATGGAGCGCCAGGCTGTGGCAGGAGCACCAGCTCAGAGTAGCGTGGGACAACAGGGGGAGAGGCCTGGCAGGCCTGTGCAAGAGGGGAAGGAGGCAGATCTGCTCTGGCCCCACTTCCGCCGATGCACAGCAGGTCTGTCTGTCCGGGTACCAGCACACGACGGGACTACTCTCTTCTGTGCAAGAGCACTGTGAGATCACGGGTGTCAATAGCTCTTGATTTAACTGAAGCGGGTAAGATCTGCCTTTTTTATTTCTAAGGATTCAGAACAGATCATTTTTAGACAATTTACTTGGACTGTTTTCAGCACAGGTGCATGACATCA